GTTTACTCGTATACAAAGTGCTACTAGATTGTGTTGTTTCCTTAGTTGCTGTTTGTATATCATTTTGTATTTTTCTCCTTCCTAACTATTGTTCAATTATTTGCAATTTAAATCATCTGCTTCGAGCTGGGCTTTTAACATACTACACAATTTTTCATTGATATCATAATATACAGCAATATTTCTTTATTTTAATTAATATTAAATCACTTGAATTTGATTGTAAATATTTACTTGACTGCATTACATTTTCGCCATTTGCCTAATTGTCGGTCGGCTATAAAGACTACCACTTTAAGCGGAAATATTTACACAATTTGAAAAAAGTTCTTGAATGAATTCGAACTTTTCTTTTCATTTAAATAAAGCAAGGCCTTTTAAAATGGTTTCTCCTCTTAACAGTATATAAGTATACGGTTTCTACTTACATGTGGCTCTCCAATTTCATGTTTTTCGCTGGATAGAGAAGGCGACGGTGATAATGGCCTTGGCAATGAATTGGCCCTTGAAGATCCAACACTTTGATTTAAAGTTTCTTGCGAAATTCCACTGTTCGATAAAAAAAATTATTGTTTGCCTTTTTTTATTATACTGTGTGTATAAAATATTTTGTGTTCAGCCAAAGAATTTTTTTGGCATATCGATAAAAATTGGCCAGACAAATAATAAAATGAAAAAATTAAAACATTATTAAAAGTGTGGGCGTGATGTGTTCGGGCGAGTTGTGGACGTTAGACTTGGCGTGGCCAGAATATTTTTAACGTACCGATAGAAATTGGCAAGAAACATAATAAATGAGAAGGGATTTGTGGGCGTCAGGCTGGACGTGTCGAAATTGTCTTTGCAATAGTAAATAGACAAATAATAAAAAGAAAATAAATCAAAACATATAACAAAGGTGCGCCCCTGTCAGTTTTTGGGTGTTTTTGAAGATAAAGAGAACACGTTTCCTTGCGTTTTTATTGCATAAATTGTCTATGTCTCTGGAATCTGCATGCCCAATCTAAACATCCTAGCTTTTATAGTTCCTGAGATCTCGACGTTTATACGGACAGACAGACGAACGGACAAATGAACATGGCCATGCCATATGTTTCGTATGTTTGTATGTACATTATACCAACCTCGGAATACCATTGCTGGGCACCTCAAGATTCCCGGTATCAGCTCGGCTTCCATATATTTGCTCATTTTTGTGAGAGGTGGCTCCTGGTCCTGCTACACTAATGCTCCCAACATCGTTGCGGTTACCAATAGAACTAATATTGGATTGTCTCAGGTTTCCGACCAAATCACTATTAGAGCCAGATGTAGGAATATTTGATCCTACAACGGATCCTGAAGATCCTCCAATTATACAAACGGCACTTGTTCCTTTGGGCGCATTTGTAACACGTCCTTTTGATGTAAGGTTGGCAACAGGGTCATCTTCTCCTTCCTCCTCACTTGAACTAGGATCAATCATGGTACAAAAATAACTGGAACACGATTATGTGGTTTTTAATCCTACAAATAAAAAAATTAAAAATCATATTATAAGATATAATTTTTATACCCGAATATAGTATTCCCGTAGAGTAAGGAATGAAGTCACGTCAACAATTTTGAAAAATTTTTGGATTTAGTTTTATTTTATTATTCGTCTTGCAAATTCAATATAGTATTCCCATAGAGTAAGGAATGCAGTTTGTGAGTGCCCACAAACCGCCAAAAGCTGTCATGTCAACAATTTTTAAAATTTTTTTGATTTATTTTTATTTTATTATTCGTTTTGCAACTTCAATCGTTATGCCGAAAAGATTTTGTCAACGTCTACTTCTACGTCAAACATTATTTAAATTTCTACTCATTTCATCTCTCCATTTCTGCGCAAACTAATGTATCAGTTTTACCGCTATCTGCATAAAACTTTTACAATTGTCTTCCTTCTACTCCAAGTACTATTTCAAGGAAAGTGACGGATCACACCACTATATCATATAGCTCCAAAGGAGCATTCGGAAAAATTAAAAAAAAATGTTGGTGCTTACTATAGAAAAAGTATGTAACAAGTGGAAGAAAGCGTTTCCGACCCTATAAAGTATATTTATTTGTGATCAAGGATCAGGATCAATAACAGAGTCGATTTCGCCATATTCGTCTGTCCATATGAACCTCGATCTCAGGATCTATAAAAGCTTGAAAGTTGAGAATAAGCACGCAGATTTCAGATACATAGACGCAGCACAAGTTTACTTTCAAAAGTTGCCACGCCGACTCTAACGCCCACAAACCCAATACAGCCACTCCCACACGTTTGAAAAATGTTTCAAAACGATATTTTCTTATAAATCTTGCGATTTTCTATTGATTTGCAAAAAATAAACCGTCCAAAGCTGTCACGCCCAAATTTTTGAAAATTTAAAATTTTTTTTATTTTATTAATGTTTTTCTGAATTTCTATCGATAAGCCAGAAAAATTTTGATATTTCTCGTTCGCACTTTCCCTAACTGAATAACGGTTTTTCTTATGGTTTTTGTAGGAAAAGTTTAAAATTCAAAAGGATTTGCGGAAAAGTCTGTTAGCATGAAGACTTTTTTTACAGCTTCACAAGTGCACAAAACTACTTTAGTATATTTATAAAGATATCACTTCAATACTCTATCGTTTTTGTTAATTACTATCAATATTTTAAAGCAATTTTCATCTTTTTTCCAAGGCTAGTCTAGCTATTTTATGCCTCGAAGAGTTTGGAAGTTTGTTTATGACGTCAGACAGCAGGTAGCAGAAGTGTAACTTCCGTTAGGTGGCGCCCGTGTGCCAGCATGGAAAGATTTGCTTTCCTTTTTGAATACCCCATTGACCTCTCCTCTGCCATTAGATGATTAATGGGTATCTGAAAATCTAGAAACACGACTCTACCGGGCACTCTTTTCTCTGTGTAGTTATGTTATTAATATTGATTGGAAAAACGAAAACTTTAGCTATTTGTCTTACTCATTTTCATTAAAAGCCTAAGAACCTTTTATTTGAATTGTTATTTATAAATCGCTTGTTTACACTTTAATTGCGCCAGTTTTGGTAATTTTCAAAAAATGAGAATGTATTAATGTAATAACTAAGACGAGTAACCATGGGTGGTGCTGTTTTTCACCCGGAAATTATTTACCCTTTTCTACACAAGGACCTTTGCAGCAAATTAAATCTTATTTTAGTTAAGTTAACATAAAGGTATTCTTTTTATTTGTAACACACCACCATCTGAAATATGTATGTATATATAAAAATATATTTATTTTTACCACCACCCTTTAAGGGTGGAAAAATCTCTGAATTACTATATAGAGGTTAATCGCTTAAAATACCTTAAATATTGGTTTTATGCTTGTCGACAATGTATTGTGCTTACAATACAGCTTTAAGAAACCCGTTATCAACAAAGTTTATCCACTATTTACATATATGGCTTAGAGTTACACGATAACTTAACATTGCATCCATTTACTGTGTGAATGACAATACGAAATTCATAGTATCATCAGTGACAATATATTTTTTATGTATTTCCAAGACGACATTAGGTTTATTTCACAAATCATTTAATTCTATTTATACAGTTCACTATTATCACGTATGAAAAAATTGTGTTCGTTTAAAGAATAGTTAAGCCTGGAGCTGCAATAAAAATCGATGGAACTATCGATAACATTGATGGTTGTGGCCCTGTTACCCCCGTTAAGAACCAGTCTTCAACGATTAGTTTGATAACTTTCTGAAACAACTAATTTATATAAAGAATGCGTAAATATCAAAAATACGACACATTCGATATTTTCGTTAAACAAGATTTTGAATATATGTTCCTTTTGGTTTAAAATAAATTCTAGATAACAATTTAGTGAAAAAAAGCCAAAATCTTAAATTTATGTCTGGTATATGTACATCACTCAAAATAGTACATATATTAGAACAGTCTTCCTAATAATCACATACTTCAAAAGGTATTCCCAGAACAAACTTTCTAAAATGCATATATGTGTCGGTTTGTCTGTAAGAAAACAATATTTTATTGAAAAAACCAAGAAACCTAGTTAAGCGGGAAAACAGTTTTAAATAACCAAATTCCTACGCACATAACTTGTTAAACCCTGAGGCTAGAGACTTTTGCTACATGCAGAAAAAGTAATTTCTAAATGCTATTAATACTTTTCAAACATGTTTGGACTAAAACAAGAGAGAACTCGACAGTCAAGTTACTCGACTGTTAGATACAGATATCCTTAGGTATACCAAAAATTTTGAATATTTTGGGAAATCAATAGGAATAATGAAACAAGAAGCATTAGAGTGAGCGAAGCAAAGGCCCAAAAACTGTCGCTGCGACATCTTCTCTAGAATCTACAACCTTCTTAATCTTCTAGATTTAATAGTTCGCGAGATCTCGGCTTCATACGGACAGACGGATGGACGGACATGGCCAAATCAAGTAGGCTATTCATCCGGATCGACAATAAATATCGGAAACGCTTTCTTCTGATTTCTACGTTCTCTTCAACAAATCTAGTATACTCATTTAGTAACAAATAACGGGTATAAAAGCCATGAAATAACCGATGGCCACAACAAATTTAGCATTTCTAACTATTTGTAACCAATTCCATGAATTTAGTTGCTTAAACTAAAATTGGTGTTATACCAGACGTGTTTTTTACGTTTTGATTGTTTAAAATATGCGAATTTGAAGCTTTGTAGATGATGCATAACACGTAGTAAACCCACTTACCGCTCGATGGTGGACAACAAAATGTATTGATAAAGCCTAAGTGTATTTATAAAGTACAAATTTATATTTTACATATAAGTAAAATTAGTAATCTGTTTTGTTTTAATTTTTTATCACAAGAGTTGATACATACTTTTTATGTTTGAGTTGCAAAATCTTCTTAAAATCTTTATTGTGGTGCACCAAAAGACATTTTAAATGGTACTCCGTTGATTTTGGTTATAAATCATGCATAAAACGATATTGTGAGTACGTGTGAGCCGGTGTCATGTTAAAACAATTATGACACGGTCACACTGTTCTTCTCTTTGTTCGGTTTGCTCTGAAAATTGTGTATTCAAATATAATTGTACAATGAACAGATTTCTAATTTTGTAAAATATAAATTTGTAATCATTGCACGACAGCAAATACATTTGAGCACCTAGTTAACTATTGATCAAACTGTTCTGATAAAGCTTTCGGCAATGTGTAATATTTGTACATATAGATGTACATGTACTTTAACTAAATTCAGTGTTAACAATATTCCTAAAGTTTTGCCGTTAAGGTATTATTATATTAAATTTTGTATACAATTTGGTATACAAAATTGATAAAATCTTTAAGTAGGGGTGCCGAGATTATTTTATGTTACTTTTTTCATATGTATAAGAGCCTAAATATATAAAACTTCGATACTATTAACATAAAAAAAAATAAAATAAAAACAAACGTGTTCGGAAAGTTAAATTTTTTTATTTGGACACATTAATGGGATAATTTTATAAAAGAGATTGCATAAAATAGTATGTCTTAGATTCTAAAGGCACACAATCGAAATTATTCATAATATTTCTTATTCCAGTTGCGGCAATATCATAATAAGGCAAAACTTTGTTATTAAACACATCAAATATTTCTGTATCCTGGGAAAATAAATAACATAAAATGTAATAAGCTAAAGTTCTAATTTAAATCGATCGAAATAAAATCGACTTTATAACTAAAATAACCAAAGTGGGGTCGCACTATGGTCGGTTCTCAAGAAAAAAAAAAAAATCATATCGAATTATCTGGAACAGCCGCGATAAACAAAAATAGCGTATATACAGCTGAAAATAATCTAAACACAACTCCTCTGGAAAACCTTAAAATTTCAAAAGCACTTTCACCTCCTTCATCACTACCTCAGATTAAAATTCCGATGATTAACCAAAATTCCACACATACTGGTATCGCTCAAACTAATCTTGAAAAGTCAAGCCGTCATTCATACCGGGGCAGTGGACTGCAATATTTCAGCAGTAGCTTTGAACCACCGGCAATGCTTGATGATAATAATGAAGACTTGCCCAAACAGCCATCAAATAATATTGCCAATTATCCTGGAGATGTTCAAATTTTACCCATGTTCGATTGCTGCCGTTCGGAGTCTATTCAAGGTAACCGAATTATTGTCATTAATACGTATTCGAATGATCATTTTAATTGTATTAAAAAATTTTAGCAGTATCGTTGCCTAATGTAACATCAACTTCAAAGAAAACAGATGTTCCTGGGTTGTATTTAAGTACGATTTCAGAAAGTTCTAAATCAAAATTGGAACCCGAATGTAAACCGCTAGTTTTAGTCAAAGAATCTTCAGTAATGGAAAACCACACCTTTTTATTTCACGAGCAAATTATCATGTCTGGCCAAGAAAAATGCGAATTACACGAGAAACCAAAGGTACTGGTCGTTTCCCCACAACAAGTAATGATTTTATATATGAATAAATTAACCCCCTACGAACGAACAGAAATACTAACTTATCCGCAGATATATTTTATTGGCGCCAACGCGAAGAAGCGCCCTGGGGTCTATGGCCCAAATAATTCTGAATACGACAATGAACAAGGCGCTTACATTCATGTACCGCATGATCACGTGGCATATCGGTATGAAATGCTAAAGATAATCGGAAAAGGTAGCTTTGGGCAGGTTATTAAAGCGTATGATCATAAAACTCACGAGCATGTTGCCTTAAAAATAGTGCGCAATGAAAAACGGTTTCACCGTCAGGCCCAAGAGGAAATTCGCATTCTTCATCATTTACGCCGTCACGATAAATATAATACTATGAACATCATACACATGTTTGATTACTTTACTTTCCGCAATCATACCTGTATTACATTTGAGCTGCTCAGCATTAATCTTTACGAATTAATTAAAAAAAATGGATTTAAAGGCTTCAGTTTGCAACTGGTACGAAAGTTTGCACACTCTTTGCTACAATGTTTGGATGCACTTTATAAAAATGACATCATTCATTGCGATATGAAACCAGAAAATGTGCTACTGAAGCAACAAGGACGTTCTGGTATAAAGGTGAGTGTATGTTTTATTTATACACCTTTTTTTTAAAAGGGCGCAGCTTAGTAAAATATACAGGTTCTTAACATGAAGCTTGGGAAATTGATTACTCGAAAGTTAGAGCCAGCTACTCGAAAGATGAGACATCGTTGACCGTATAAAGGTCGCAAGTCACTCTCATCTAACGTCCACAAACCGCAAACAACGGCTACGGTGGAGAAAGGGTAAAAACTCGTTGAAAAGTATATAACAAGTAGAAGGAAGCGTTTCCGACAACATAAAGTATATATATTCTTGATCAAGATCACTAGACGAGTCAATCTAGACATGTCCGATTTTGTGTCTGATTTTGCCACGCCCACTCGAGCTCCAACAAACTACTCAAATCTGCCACGCCTACACGTTTAATAACTGATTTGATTTTGTTTCATTATTTTATCCGTCTTGTAAATATCTATCGATTTGCTAAAAAAAAAACTTTTTGAGACGGCAGCTCTAACGCCCACAAACCGCAAAACAAAAAAGTTTTGAAACATTTGTTATTTTTATTGTTTTGTTACTCACCGTTTTTTTTTTCGTTTTTTTATGTGTCTTGCCAATTGATATATTAAAAAAAAGAATTTAAAAAACTTGTTTGCGCTTTGTTTAAATGTGAGTCTAGCACGGAAAGGAGATCATCAGCTCGACAAAAACTATCCTAGCTAAGCCAAAAACGCGTCAAGCCACCCTTAGTTTGGCGCATGAACGATTTCATTTCGTCAACCCAGAGACGTTTATCTCTTGCAAGCTGCAACACTTCCTCTAAAACCAGCGCATTTAGTGTGCACCATTTTATCACACAGCCAAGAAGTAATTATTGGCTGCTTAGGCCTTGTTAAAATACGTCATTTTATCATCGTAGACATAAACTGTGCCCATAATTATTTTAATTCGGACCACTGTACAAAGTGAACTATACCAAAATTTTCAAGGCAAGCAGTTCAAAGTACCGCAAGGGCGCAAGCCACACTCTTAGAGATTTTATTTGAGAGAACGAGAGAGCAGCGCAGTTAACATGACAGCTTTGGGACATAGTAGTCAGATTTTAATCAAATAAAAACCAAATTTTATTTTATCTTAAAAAGGGCGTAAACCGATTATTCCTAGGGCAGCTATGTGATATAGTGGTTGGGTCCGACTTTTGTGATAGTTGAATGCAAATAGCCATAAAACTGAGATACTAGTTAGCGTAGAAACGGACATGGCGCTGTTGGCTCGGCTGATAAAAAATATGCTTACTCTACATAGTCTCTTATGACTCTTTTTCTACTTCGCAAACGTCTGACTGAAATGAATGTGTAAATAAAATATAACATAGATGTGCTTAATAATGTTTAATTTATAATATAAATTAACATCCGACTTGGAATAGTGTCGTAAATATGTTGCTGTATGCAAATGTTTTACCTATAAATACTTTTTAATATTTATATATATTATATTTACAAAATTACACAAAAGTTTTTGAAAGTGACAATTTTTATAAACAGTAATAAATTAAGCTTCTCTTTGAAAATAGCAATTAAACCCAAATTTTATATTTTTTCAATAAACGGGCGTATATGCACTGTTTTATCTAAAAGATTTACAAAAAAATTTAAAAATATCATATTTATCTAAAATGGCGTGGCAACACTTGCGAACAAACTTTTGCATATATGTCTTTGGAATGTTAATCTTAACATTCTAGATTTTGTATTTCTTGAGTCTGAGGCGGTTATACGGACAGTCAAAGATGACTAGTTCGACTCAACTATTGATCCTGATCAAGAATATATATACTTTATATGGAAACGCTTCCTTCTGCTTGTTACATACTTTTCAACGAATCAAAAAGTCTTGTATACCGAGTTATAACACGATTTCGTCTCAATTTCCAAAGTAGTAAAATTACGCGAAGGTCTTTGAAAGTGTAAATTCTTAGTGTAATAAATTCCCATTTTTATTTAAGTAAAAATTACAGCTTTATATCTTCTTTCTACTTAAAGGTAATTGACTTTGGGTCGTCATGCTTTGAAAACCAGCGTATATACACATATATCCAGTCACGTTTTTATCGCGCTCCAGAGGTAATTTTGGGGGCAAAATATGGCAGAGCTATCGACATGTGGTCGTTGGGTTGTATTTTAGCAGAGCTGCTTTCAGGGCATGCATTGTTTCCTGGTGAAAACGAAAGCGATCAGTTGGCTTGCATTATTGAAGTTTTAGGAATGCCCAACAAAAATATACTAGCCAGCTCGAAGAGGTCAAAATCGTTTTTCAGCCCAAAGGGTTATCCTCGATATTGTACGGTTCGAACAATGTCTGATGGAATGGTGGTCCTAATCGGCGGACAGTCACGTCGTGGCAAACAAAGGGGCCCGCCATGCTCAAAAAGTCTATCCAAAGCACTGGATGGATGCAAAGATCCCCTCTTTCTTAATTTTATACGTGGTTGCCTTGAATGGGATGCAGATAAGCGATTAACTCCTTCCGAGGCTCTAAAACATCCATGGCTTCGCCGTCGCTTACCGAGACCGCCAAGTAGCTCAAGTGGTTGTGGTGGGGTGAGTGGCTTAAGTGTTAGTAGGAACGAATCCCCAGTTACAGGTAAATTTGATATATTCAATTATAAGGTTTTTACATAAATGTAGTTTACAGGACAAAATAGGAACTTTGCAGCCGAAATAACTACATCATCAACGTCTGCCACATCTATATCTTTAACGATTAAAAGGGATAACAGTCATTCCAGTCTTCGTATTCACCATGGTGGTGTTCCAGAAACAGACTTCAAACTTATAAAGTCCGTTCCAGAAGGATCATCAACCGCAACTATAGAACCAATGATGAACACTGATATTCTAGTAGAAAGTTTTAGACAAACAACAGTTGTATCACCACGTATACCATCAATGCATTCTGCTGACTCCGGCGGAATAAGTTGTCTTAGCGCAGTGGATGTCGGGCCTTCGAGATATTATCCGTATATGAATAACAATGAAAATAACAGTAATTTTATCATCTATTTTCTATATATTAAACTTTTGTCAACTTTTATATATATTTTAGGATTATTCTCAGGCTCGTTAAACAGCTCGGCAAACTCATTGACACATTTGGAACAAGCCACAAACTTAGATGCTGTGGGAGAATACTCGGCGTCAACCACACAAAATTTACTATCGAAAAATAATGGCTACGCGTTTAACTCATGTTCTATGACCATAGATGTTGCACAAGAGTCTTTGGTTAATATAGCTAGCAATTACGCCTTGGATAAATCTAACGACATTATTGGAAAATCAAATGGTTCGCTTCATTCGAATAAATTAAAAGTACAATCAAAAGATATGTAGCTAATTTATGACCATATGCAATAAGCCATTTAAGAGATTAGAAGAAGAACTTTATGTTATCAAATTATTGGACAATGCACTGCCATACAAGTGATAAACTAAATAAGTTTTGGCCGTGATTTGCATTGCGATGGTATTGACATGAAATCAAACATAGACAAAAAGGATCTCACAAAGTTAAATTAAAATTAATCCATTTTAATTATAACAAAAAAGCTTTGTTTGGCTAGCCTAATATTATATAACCTTGCAGTTAATACCATGTTTTAATTATAAAAGATATGTTTTTCATGTTTTTCGAATCAATGCTATTGCAGCTATATCTATGTTATAGTCGTAAATTCTTTATATAATTTAAATCGTATTTCTAAAATTCTTAAAAGAAGAATATAGAAAAAGATATGAAATAATAATATCATCAAATTTTTTTATATTTTGTATGTAATAATTCCGAAATTTTAAACCTTGCTCTTTGTCAAGTTTTATATTATTTATTTAACAATTTAGAATATTCTAAACAGCCCTCTTTGCCTAGATAGAAAGTGCAAAAATGATGTTTTGTTCGGCAAGCTATATATATACATATATGCCCTTGCATTTAATACCACCTTTTAATTATAAAAAGTGGTACGGTTTTAATAGTGTTACTGAGAATTTTCAAATCAGTCCGATTCGCTTGGGTAGAAAAAATTATAAAAAATTCTATCCTGCAACAGAAAGAAGACCTATTGGAAAAGTTGCGTAGACATGGATGGGCGGTCGAACAGACGGAATAAGAATATATATGTGTATACTTTATGTGAAAACTTTCACTGCGTGCAAGATGATTAGAAGTATATTATTATCTTCTACATTATTATCTAACATCAGTATACCCGAATAATATATTCGAATAAGGCTTACTAAAAATGTTAGGAAATTTTTTTAAAGTCGCGAAGTTATTGATTAAAAAACCCAATACTAGATTGTACACTCTCTTATATTTTATGAAACCGTAATCAAATTTCGTTGAATACTGGACTTCTGTGAGACTCCCAAATATTGTTTATTTTGCTTAATATGTATACATATTATAGATTTAAAACTTTATACGCATTTTTTAAGAAATCGTGTAACTCTTATGTTGTATAAGCTTTTACGTCAAAATAATAGCGAAAAATCTAAAATTTCCTGATCTGAATTTGATCTGAAAGTGTTATTTAAAAATTTAAAAATGTATTACCGCAATCTTCCACCTTAGTTCTATAAGGGCTTTTGGTGGTCTCAATAACGGAGGGGCTGTGTTTGGTTTGGGATTTGGCCATAAGTCAAAATTATATGTTCATCAGAAGTTTGTTAGTTCGGATAATTCTTCTCTCATTGGACGTTGGGATTCTTATACCCATTACTCGTAGAGAAAAGGAATACCCTTTTCGGTTCGTTGTAAAGTATATAACAGGCAGAGGAAAGCGGTTTCGATCCCTTAAAGTATTAATATTCTTGATCAGAATCACTAGCCGAGTAGATCTAGTCATGTCCGTTTTGTCCGTCTGTATCAACGTCGAGATCTCAGTAACTATAAAAGCCAGAATATTGAGATTAAGCTTGCAGCTTCCAGAGCCATAGATTCAGCGCAAGTTTTCCACGACCACAAACCGCGCAAACTGCTACGCACAAACTTCTAAAAAATTTTTTGATGTTTTTTCATTTTTTTATTAGTCTTGTAAAGTTCTATTGATCTGCAAAAAAAATTTTTTAACGCCCACAAACCGGCCAAAACTGTCACGGCAAAGGTCCAGAAATTTTCCTATATCTAATGTATAAATCGCCTTAAAACCGGTTACGTCTTTAACAATAAAAATAATACTTTTTAAACCAACAAGGCGCTTAAGTTGAATTTTGTAGCAAATTTTTATTCAATTGAAATATACATACACTAGTACACACAGCCAAAATATAACCAAGCAGTTGATCCTAGCTTCTGTGCAACTGGTCGACAAAGTAAGAAATTTAAATTTTTGTTTAGTTAAATCTGTTATGTTAAGTCTGTTTATACCATAAAAGCTTAAAATATTTCTATTTAGCAATAGTTATAAGTATTATAGCATTGATGAAAGGTAAGTTAAATCTTTTCTATACGCGCTTATAATATCAGCAAAACGGTATGCTTACATTGGTGGTGCGCAATAAGTGTTATTTTAATTAAGCTTAGAGCGCTAGTAATTGAAAAATGTTACGTTTACGAGTCTCTTGGTATCTAGATGATATTATAAAAATTGTTTAATTGATTCATTAAGAGAATAAAAAAATACAACATTTTGAATCAATTCCAAACTAGATAAATGGTTTTTCGCCATTTAATTAATTACTTGTCATTTTTGATATTTTAACTTCAATTGATTTCAATTGATTGTGAATGAAAAGTATTGTTTTAAAGTGTGGTCTAAGTTCTGTATGTGGAATTTTTCTCCAACTGTTATTGATAACACAAAATAGCATTGACAGTGTGTATACCCGACCACTGACAGTAATTACCAGAAGTAGTTGGCAAAAGTTAGTGTTAAACACAAAAAGTATTTTGTGGTTTTATAATAAGGTTTTGTTGCAGACAGACATACCAACCAACAATTTTCCTTTTGAAAAATTTCCAAAATTAGAGAATACATTTTAAACGGAGCATCGGAGATTAACAATTAGCTGTCAATGAACATTACTTCGTTCAAGACTTTGTAACAGGACCCAATCAGGATCACTGGACCAGTCGATCGGACAATCTGTGTCGCCTTAATCTCAGGTACTGTAAAAGATAGAACTGAAAACTGCCACGCCCACACTTTTGAAAAAGGTTTTAATTTTTCCTTGATATTATTTTTCTTGCCAATTTCTATTGGTATACCAAAAACATTTTCTCCACGAGCCCTCTAACGCCAACAAAATGCCCATTACTTTTACGCCCAATTTTTGACATTTACTTTTACTTTTACATTTTCTTTTATTTTATAATTTTTATTTGCAATTTCTATGGATGTCAAAAAAAATGTTAAATGTCAATACTGAAGATCCTTCGCACCTAGAAGATAACAAAATTTGCGTAGTCACTAGTAATTTTATTAATATTCTGGTAAAACATATTAACAAAACAAAATTCAATATTCAATAGTTTAGGAATCTTTTCTTAGTTTATACATAAAACATTTGTCCATGTTAATACAACAATTATCACAACTCCTTAATAGAAAAGGAAGACGCTCCGAAATTATACCGCTCGATAAAGATTTTACAAACGCAACTTTAAATAAAATATTGGATCTATAATAGGTCTCTTAAAAACTCTCACAATATTTCGGGTTTTTCTGTCAAATATTTTAAAATACTTTTGAGCTGAAAATCAAAAATCTTACGAAAACATCCCCGATTATTTAAAAACTTTATAACCTATTTTTCACTTCTCTATATTTTTTTGTGCCTATGTACTTCTTGGAATTAAGTGTTGATATATACATATTTGTTTACTCACAGTCCAACAGTCCCCTGCTAAAACTTACGTAACAAATTAAACATAATGCTTGGTTATACCGTTTATAGGAAGCATTAAGACGTTTTTACATGTTTACTGATTAAATGAATTAAAAAAGTGGTCTACCCATATGTGTAATAGCGCATCTTATTTATAAGTTCACTGAGTATGACGCAGGGACTCTTCACAGTTTTTAACTATAAAACATTTGATAGGACCTTTTAAACCTTGTAGAATTTAACTTAATTCCTCAGAGAAATTATACAGAATTTTTAAAATTTGATAATCTACAACTCTATATCCAACGTGTCAGATGTAAGAATCATGGTTTCGCTGTTGTTGTCATCTACCAAAGAGGAAAGGGAATCGTTTGCCATGACTGCAGACATATCAACTGAATTTTGTTTATCTTCGTCTAATGTACCAAGTGACCTATGGGGAGATGAGAGAAGTGGATCATCGCAATGCTCAAGCCTAGTAAACTCTGAGTTTTCAGCTGAATGGGACAAACTATGAATTTCTCGTATACGCGTTTGGTGAGAATGATTTGGATGGCCCTCACGTGTAGGCAATTGGCGTTGAATATAGCACGAAGTACCGCAACAGTCATCTGATGCTAAACTTGATTTGCCTATAAAAAGGCTTTCATCAGCTTCCGAAAAATTCTTTGGTTCAAAACTTGCACAATTCAAATGTTTTGAGCTCGGTGATTGTGGTGCGGATTGCATGTGACTATGCGATGACAACATCGGGTCGCCGCCTTGCACTGCATACTTGCAATCTTCCATAAACTCATCGATCTGATTCATTCCCATATTTACGTCGGTACCATTAATAACTTGTATCTTTATAAGTGAATCATTAAATTAGAAAATAATATTTTTTTTTACATATTTAGGCTTACTTTTTTTTCAACAGGTATATCAAAAAGTGATCGACGACTTCGAGAAACAGAAGGCGATAGACTAAAACTTGTAAGATAAGTGTTAGGTTGAGTAGGCGCTGATACTGATGTTAAGTGGTAGTCTGCTAAAGAAATTCCATGGGACTTGGCCTGCATTTCCAATTCCTTAAATAAAAACGTATAAAATTAAATTACAGAATAAAATTTAAGCGATTAAACAGTACTTTTATTCGAGAAATGAGCTTTCGGTTTTGCAACTCCACTTGACGTTGACGTAACTCATTTTGTCTTAACCGAGTCACCTCATGTTTCAAGCATTTTATGTAGTCAACAGACGACTTCAATATTGTTCCCTTGTTTGGACGGATATCTCGAACCACTTCGTAAAAGGCATCACTGCCCTTTGGCAAAAGAGTACCGAGCTCTTTTATTCTGTCGTTTATATTAAAGCGGCGCCTTCGCTCAACTGAAATGAACAATACCAAAATTAAAATATTTTTTAAAAATTTTGTATACATTTACTCATATTATGGTTGTCTTTCTTTTGTCTGTCCTTGGCTAAGGCATTCATTTCAGCATCAGTTAAATTTTGAGGTTCCTGTTTAATTGAAAGCTCAGAGTTGAAGTTTTTATCAAAGTTAAAAGAGTCATTTTGCAATATATCATCGAAGATGTCATCTGCCTGAAAGGAATATGATGTTAGGTTATTTGAAAATAAATCTATATGAACAATTTAAACTCAATAAGGTACTTATTTTTATAAAAAAGCGTTAAATACAAGTAACCTTCGTTGATTAATTAGCCCAGTATCGTTAGCATAAATATGATTATTTTATTCGGTTCTACGAAAACATTTTAAATGCATGATAGTTTATTAAATCGGTATATACTTACATCGCTATCGAATGATGGTAGCTGTAAATTTAAATAAATTGACAAACAAATTATTAAAATAAAAATAAAATCGAAGTTTAAAGTTGTCTGATTAGCATAAAATATATAGATATAATTGCATTTACATTACATATTTTTATACCCGTTATTCGTAGAAAAGTATGTAACAGACATAAGAAAGTGTTTCAGACTCTATAAAGTATATACGTATATTATTGATCAAAATCACTAGCCGAGTCGATCAGGCCATGTCCGTCTGTCTGTCCGTCCGTATGAACGTCGAGATCTCGGGAACTATAAAAGCAAGATATTTGGGATGAGGCACACAGAGTCCAGAGACATAGACACAGTTTCTCGTCTGGTTTTGCCACGACCACTCTAACACCCACAAGCCGCCCAAAACTTCCACGTCCACACGATTAAAAAATGTTTTAATTTTTTTCATTACTTATCAGTCTCGTTACTTTCTATCGATGTAACTTTCTTTCTATACACCATTGAAAAATGTTTTAATGTCTTGCCAATTATTATCGGTATACAAAAAACATTTTGGCCACGCCCCTTCTAACAACAACAAACCGTTAAGACTAGCACGACATTGAAGATTTAGATTTTTAATTTAGATTTAGATTTAAGATTTCGATTTTTAAAAATGTTATATTTTTCTTTAATTTTTATCAATATGCCAGAAACTTGTTGAAATATCTGATAGTCGGAAAACTGTAATTTCTTATTAAGCTGTTTAATAAAAATTGATACAATCTTTGATATTTGATACATCCAAATTGAAGTTATTGTCATATTTTTCTGGTCTTACAAAAAAATACTTGTGTCCATTTTTATTCTTTGGTGTTCTTTAATGTTTATTTTTTTTACTTATTTGTGCAACTATTATTTTTTAAGGACTACTAATTTTTTGTCAATTGAGCATTAGTTTACTCACCTCAGAGACACTCGTTGCAACCGAGCTTAAACTCGGGGAAATAGGTGCTGAAGTAGATTGTAATGAACTTGCTGTACTGGAAATTCTAATTGAATTAACAATCCCTGAAGAAGAACGCGTTGAACTTAGGCTTGAATTAGCTTTAACCAAACCCAACTGGGTGTTTTTATGGGCATTTTCTGGTTCTCCAGAACCTTGATTGCTTCGTCGCAATATAGTTGACTCATTTGGATTTATGTCATCACATCTTACGAAACTACCACCAAATGGGGAAATGGGCATTGCGTCATCGGAAGGCATAATTCTTTTAGCACTCACAGCCGTATCGCATACAAATCCATTTGTACGCTCCAAAGGATCGCAAATACTTTTCTCTAAAGATGAACTCTGAAGATTTCCCGTTGGCGCAGAATTATTTGCTAATTTTATCTGTAGTTTAAAATGATATCCTAACATTAATTTATTTTCTAACCAAACAATTGTAAGGTCTTACTTCGCTGGTATGACAGCCCCACATAGACGGCTTAAAGGATTCGCTGAGATATTGCCTTACTTGATTCTTTTGCTTTTGTATAACATGATACCTGGTGGGGTTTTCCAGCACTGTACTGACCTGTAATTTATTTTCGTACAACTTATATATTTTTGTTTCAGGATATACATACCTGCAGCACTTGTGGCGGCACATCTACTCCGATACTTTGAAGAGGAACTTTAAGCTTAACTGCGCTTGACGAGTCAATTAAATTGTCCATTTGCACTAACTGGGACATTTGTTCTAAACTGGATGACCCGCTGCCACAAGCACTGGTACTACCGCTGTCAATGAATTCTGATTCCATGGGCCCCTGCCCACTGCCATACAATAGGTGCATTTTTGGGTCCAGAGCAGTGTCTAGTGCCTGTTGTTGTATCATCATTTGTTGCTGTTGATGCTGTTCGCGCTGTAGCTGCAGTTTTAGTTGTGTTCGAGAAGTGGGAGTAGCAGTTTTAAATGTCGGTCTGTTTAAATAATAATAAAGAGAATACATTTTTAAACATTTTAAAAAATACATATATAAATGTATAACCTTAACAAAAAGGTAATTTTATATACCTACCCACCCGAAAGTGGAGGTAAGCCCACTATGCGCGGTTCTGCAGTTTCGGCAATGCTAATATCCCCCAAATCTACAATACTCGGATCCATTTCAAGAATCATTTCTAAATCTTTGTCAATACCAACTGTTACACGAATATTTGTCATACCAAGTGGCACACAATCACAATCAGATGTTCGCCGTACTGATGAAGGACACGCTTTATCTACGTTATCGGAGTAAGTTGTCGTAGGAGGTTCTTCGCCGACTTCAATATCCATAGAACTGCAGATATTAGGTCGATAGACTAAATCGTTGTGTGACATTTTTAAAGTCTGAACCCGCTTCAGAAAATCTTGAAATTCCGGAACATGCTTTTCTATAATCGGCGCAACCATTTCTTTTTTGTCCATTTTAACTTCTGTTGAAATATTGTTGCTCATAGATGAAACTTTCTCCGTCCTGTGTCCCTCTACTGAGCTTGTTATATTTTTTTTGGTCCAGTAGGAAAACATTTTATTTAACAGTCGGTAAACTATTTAGGGTATTTTGAGACCTTGATCTTGGATCTAGCTAGCAAATGTGAAAGGAGGGCCTTTTGTACGCATGCTAACTCAAAATAATACTAATATATGGTGTCACACCTATAGGGTACTACGATATTGAAATACTTATACCTCGCTCTCTGGAGAATATTCAAAAAACACCCATAGATATTTAATAAATAGTTTAAGAACAAATTAGTTATCTCTTCATTTCATTAAAAAATATATATAGAAAAATATGTATATGATAACCGAATTAAACCTTAAAATTCGAAAAGATATTATTCCTTTAATAAAAAACCACCTTGCAATTTGCAACTCTTTTTATTTACATATATGCTGTGTGTTCGGTATTTATTAGTGTAAACAACAAAATTCCTATGTATGCATGTATGTATATATGTGCTTTTAAATATATAGATATGTACGTTTCTAATTAATTTATAATTTATACATAAATATTTACCTTTTTAATTAATTTATAATTTAAAAAATACATTAAAAATTTATAATTTATATTTTATATTTTATATTTTATATTTTATAATTTATAATTTATAATTTATAATTTATAATTTATAATTTATAATTTATAATTTATAATTTATAATTTATAATTTATAATTTATAATTTATAATTTATAATTTATAATTTATAATTTATAATTTATAATTTATAATTTATAATTTATAATTTATAATTTATAATTTATAATTTATAATTTATAATTTATAATTTATAATTTATAATTTATAATTTATAATTTATAATTTATAATTTATAATTTATAATTTATAATTTATAATTTATAATTTATAATTTATAATTTATTCCATGTTCATTTTACGGATGTACATCTTTCAAAAGGGGGAAATTGGAATAAGGCGCATATTTGTATTGTTATATCGGCCACATGTATTCTTTTAATGCTCTCTACATATCTCTCTGCATATCCCGCTAAGATATAACCATGTTCGAAAATGTATTCACTTCTGTCTTTTTATGTCACTAAAATTTTGTAGAGCGGAATTGGATTAGAATTCGTAATTATGTAGATATTTACATCAATGCAAATCACCTACATATCTTTTAAGCTGTGAGATATTTATGCCAATAGTACCGTTTTAATGCTACTTTCGTAAGAAATCCACTACTGATAAAAAGTACGGTGGTTTTAGACTAATATGTATGAAGCGTACATGCACACTCACATATATTACATCTACATTTAATTCCTTGTGTACAGATGTATATCTAAAAATATATACATAATTATATATGTACAATATGCACATGTAAATTGATATTTAATTATTAAAGGTACACATGTTCCTATGGTATCATATACGTATGTACTGCTAGTCTCGTTTTATATGATTTCATAGACACATATATACTTACACAAGTTTATAATCATACAAATGTATGTTTGCTTGATAAGATTATAATATAGCGCTAATCATACTTCAAATATGATGCTTGTACACACATATCGTCATATGAAAAAGGATGTACATTTGTTTAAACATACATATGTATATATTGATATACACATATGTATGTACTTATGTATACCGATCATGAAAATACATTTTAACATGAACTCAGGCATTGTCAACCCTGACTGTAAATGAATGTGCAATATACATATTTACATTAGATTACAAGCTACTTACATTTCATTAGGCCGTAAACAGCGTGAAGATGATTTTAATTCATAGAACTCCATATTCTCTGTACTTCCTGCTACAGTAATATTTGGTAAGAAATCCATATTTTCGTTATCATTCAACAGGCTTATATTTAGATCAAACTCCATGTCAAAGCCCAAATCAATTCCAGATTCCGTCATAATTGAGGTTGATCTCCGATTCAATAACTGATTTACTTATACTTAGGAAATGTTATATATCCAATTAACAATATACATAGGACAATTTTATATTTTTATATGTACTAATTCTGAAATTCGCCTCATGTCAGTTAAAGAGACGGACCTACTAATGAATACCTAAATTTCATAACACGGCTAGAGCTTTTAATAGTGGTGTGAAAATGACAGTAAATGATCGCACGTATTTCGTGCTTTTAGCTGTTAGAAACATGTCAGTTATTTCATTCAAATTCAAAGATTTTTTTGTATTATACTATTAAACACACACACATCTTAACGAAGTATAAAATAAGTGACAAGCGATCTCACATTCATTATACGACGAAAATTTACTTTACATATAACGACATAGGAGCAATATCTCTAATTATCTCATTATGACGGGAGGAAATTAAGCTATTAAGAACTGTTTTCCACAAAACTAACGGGTTTTTCCACTAAAATACAAGATAGAATGATATAGTCAAGTTCGCCGACTATCAAATACCCGTTACTCATCTAGTGGAAGTGCGAACGAGGCATTTCTCTATTTTCTGAAATATCGGTAGAAATTGCGTAAACAAATACAAATAAAAACCATTTCATGTGTTTCAAACGTGTGGGCGTGATAGTTTTTGGCGGTAGAGTGGGTGTGGCAAAACGATTTTTGGCATATTGATAGAAATTTACAAGAATTCTAAAAAGGAATCACAAAAAATCACAAAAGAATCACACATTTTCAAAAGTGTGAGTGGCTTGTGGGCGTTTCAGTAAGCGCGACATCATTTGGAAACAAACTTAAGCTGCGTGCTTAATCTCAACATTCTAGATTTTGTAGTTCCTGAGATCGAGGCGTTGAGAATCTTCCATAATTCGGAGCTCATATACAAGTTACATACCATACATATACCAACAAAATGAGATGTATGCAGAATAAGAACATTTTAATATAAAACAACGAACTTATTTTTCTATTCTTTCAATTATTTTCCCTACTGTTTATATGACAGCTAAGTATGCTAGCATTCTTAAAAGAGAATTTCGATGTACTCTCATTTGTGCTCCACATTAAAGGTTGATATCATATTAAAGCTTGATTTTTCAGTCATCTTATAACAACTCCAAAGTAAAACTATTTTTACTTTATTTTAATTTTTAAAACCAATATAGTCTTTGCCGACTGAGAAACGCAATCCTAATTTGATTAATTTAATTAATCCTAAGTGTGAACGACACAAGTAGCTCTTTGGAGGTACAAATTATAAAGTATTCAAACATTTTTATGCGTTACTCGCAGAGTAAAAGGTTATACTATTTTCGTTGAATAGTATTTAGTGTAAAAGGAAGCGTTTCCGAGCCCATAAATTATATATATATTCTGGATCATGACCATGTCCGTCTGGACAGAAACTATAAGGCTATAAGCTAGAAAGTTGATATTAAGCATGCATATTCCAGAGACATAGACGCAGCGCAATTCTATCTACTAGTCCTAGATTTTTTGTTTGAAATTTCTTTATTTAATTATTACTTTTCTCAACTTAAACTTGTATCTAAGTAAGATAAATTGAATATACTCTTGAACATTTTTAAAATTTTTTTCTTTTATTTGTTTTCCCAATTTCAGCGTGCCACTGACTTTAAAAAATAGTTTACTCCTTAAATGCCTCTTTAGAAGCATAACATTTTTCAAATGTTTGTTAAATAGGAATCACTTTTTAAGTGGAAACGCAGTTTCTACATCGATATAAGAAATACAAAAATACATGTTTGAATTTATCGATAAGGTTTTTCATTTTATAAATTTATGTAAACTACAAATTTGCCTATTCATAATAAGCCTACCAGTCACTATTTTAAAACCCTTGTACATTTAAATACAATTAACATATCCCCAAAGTAAACTTAATATATTATGAACGCTGAGTTATTTTAATTTTCAATAAGAAGTAATTACAAACTTCTTTTTCATGTAAATTGGTAAGCAATTTACGTTCAACTATATATATTGTTTTAATACATTTTGTGCTCTTTGTGTATTTATATTTAAGAGGATGTATACTTGCAATCCTACAGCATTTAGGGGGCAATTAAAGTTAAAAGTTAAAGCATGTAAAATGTTCCTTAGCCTTAACTTAAATTTTGCTTAATTTTTATAGTAATGTTATCGAATTTGTTTGTTTTTAGTTATAGTACCCAGCGAAAAAATGGAAAAAAAAATCTCATCGACATCCCAGCCCCGGATTTTAAAAAAGAAGCATTTCAGGGTTAAGCATCAAAAGGTTAAGTTATTTAGAGCCAATGAACCAATTTTAAGTGTGTTCATGTGGGGAATAAATCACACTGTATGTAACAAAAATGTACCTAGAAAGCAAAGATAAACTAATTTGAATATTTTCCAGATTAATGAATTAAGTCACGTAAATATACCTGTAATGCTTTTGCCGGACGATTTTCGTGCTTATTCTAAAATTAAGGTGGATAATCATCTATTTAACAAGTAAGGAATAAAAAAAACATTTTTGATGAATTTTCTCAAATGTTATAACCACTACAGAGAAAATATGCCCTCACATTTCAAAGTCAAGGAATATTGCCCCCTTGTGTTTCGAAATTTGCGTGAAAGATTTGGAGTTGATGATGTGGACTACCGTGAGTCCTTAACTCGATCCCAACCTATTCAAATTGATTCGTCGGGAAAATCAGGAGCACAATTTTATCAGAGTTATGATAGGTTTTTTATAATAAAAAGTTTGACCTCGGAAGAAATTGAACGAATGCATGCATTTTTAAAGCAATACCACCCGGTGAGTAAAGTATAAGTTAATTTATTAATATATCCGTTATCATCATTTTTAGTACGTTGTGGAAAGACACGGAAAAACGCTGTTACCGCAATATTTGGGAATGTATCGTATCACTGTAGAAAGTGTGCAATATTACTTCGTCGTCATGAGAAATGTTTTCAGCTCCCACTTGCCAATACACAAGTATGAAATATGTTGAAAGTTACAACTCTTATATGAATAGTATAACCTTTATTTATTTGATAGAAAGTTTGATTTAAAAGGTAGTACCGTTGATCGGGAAGCATCAGAAAAGGAACTTGAAAAAAATTTGCCGACTTTCAAAGACAATGATTTTATAAAACAAAAAGTGAAATTAGACATTGGAAAGGAAGCTAAGAACAAGCTAATGGATACACTGAGCAACGATGTAGATGTAAGTAAATATTTTTATTTCATTTTTATAACACTTGTTTGTATTGATAATTTAAACGAAACATATACAAAATCAAATCAAATTTTAAGAATTTGTAGGTGGGAGGAGAAGAATTCTAACTAAAGGAACTGCGTGCGGCAGTTTTTTGTTTGTGGGTGTTGGAGTGACCGTTGCAATCTTTTAAAATGAACTAGTTCCAACTATCTTCTGCATATTTAGCCTTCTTGTAGCTATTGAATTCAGTTAGCAAGCCAGATCAAGAATATGTATACTTTATAGAGACAGAAACGCTTCCTTCTGCCTTTTACTTACACACGTTTACCTTTCTCAAGTCTTACAATTTCATAAACTTCATTTAAGGAAACAATTATAATAAGTTAAATTGTACGTAATTTTGTTTTAAATTAAAATGCAGTTATTGAAATATTGATAAAATATTTGGTTTTTATACCGGTTACTCGTATGGTAAAAGGGTATACTATTTTCGTTGAAAAATATGTAACGGGAAGAAGGAAGCTTTTTTCTTTCTTAACCAAGATCAATGAACGTAAGATCAATTAATCAAAAACGTATGAACGTCGGGATCTCAGGAACTATAAAAGCTAGAAAGTTGAAATTAAGCACGCACATTCCAGAGACATAGACGCAGCAGAAGCTTGTTTACTAATGTTGGCACGCCCACTCTAACGACGAAAACTGTCACCCCCACACTTTTAAACACAATGTTTTCATATTTTTTCGTTCCATTAGTCTATCTAATTTTATCGGAATACCAATAATTTTAGAAAATATGTTTGTTTTTTTTTCTCTTTATTATTTTTTTTTTGTCTATTTCCACGGATAAGTAAAAAAAAATAGTGAACTTTCTTGTTCGCAATCCCACTAGTTGAGTAACGGGTATCTGATAGTCGAGAAACTCGACTACAGCGTTCTTTTGTTACATATGTACATGTTTGGGCTTGCATATACTGAGGTGGTCAAAAGTATTTACACAACGTGCTTTTTTTTCAATTGACAACTTTGATCGCTTATTGCTGCTGCTTTTGTACTCAGAAACGAACATAACGGTATTTGTCGTGCTTCTACATCTATACAGAAGCAAACGAAAGAAGAAGTGGAAAAAATAACTGTTCATGGGGGAAAAATAGAAGCATTGAACTGATACTTGTCTGTTGTCAGAAGTATTTACACACAATTTTTACACGTCAAAATTATTTACACAGTGCAAATTGAAGATTAGTCTTTGATTTGCATTGAGTAAGTGAAGTTCCAGTTGATGTTGATCGCTTAATTGGAACTTAAACTAACTGTTAACAGTTAAATTAATAGATTAAACTAAGCATTTAATTTGAAAAATGGCAAAAACTAAGGAGCTATCAGTTGAGCATCGAGCCGAGATTGTCACTAAATTTAAGGCTGGTACTTCTGCATCCAAATTAGCTGAGTTGTACAAAATATTACGTAAAACTGTGTACAATTTAGTTAAAAAAAAGGACACACTGGAAAATTTGGAAAATAAAA